AATAGAAAATCATAACTTCCTGTCCCACAATGCAAAATGTAGCCCTTTATAAGACACAATTTAAGATTAATTAGGAATAAAAAATACTCAGTAATAAGGACCATGAGTTATAATAAAACTATTGACCAACAATACTCACTGAGGTAACGGAAGAGGAACCCAACAGGGATGGAGGCAGCGAGGATTCCTAAGTAAACCAGCTCATCGGGAGACATCTCTCTGCTGGGACAAAAACACTGATCAACTCTAAACTTAATCATAAATGCATCCAAACCATTCCAATACACTGAGAGCAAATTGCATTGGAACAGCTGGTCATTTGTTATTTTTTGATGACTGTATCCAAGAACCATTGATCAAGTCCTTTAGTGTGTTTTACGGATTTGGAAGTGCTAGATTGCATAACATTACATTGTGGAGGTAATATTTCTTGCAATCGACTAATTTAATCCTAATTATCCTAAAATACATTATTTTTGGTCAACCATTTATCTTGGGAATTTTTGTTTTTCACTATAATGTAATGTTTACTTATATGGTCCACACAGGAAGATAACGTTGCTAATACTAGGTATCCAAATAACTAAATGAAAGCAGTAATACTAATGTTAAAATAAGGGTGTGTTTCACAATATAGGAAGCCGATATCTTGCCAAATTACAGTCATTTCCGGTAATATGTGCAAGAGCACTTGTAACATTGTTGCAGCATTATGTAGCACTACTTTGAAAAGTCGAATAAAGAGATTGAATGCAAGGGACAGCCATGTGCCAAAATTACGTAACCTATGTTCATAACACATGGAAACATATCCATGGGGTCAATGGGAGGAATATGTTTGTGACTGAGTACACAGTCGCCAAATCTCAGGTACTTAAGACCAGAAGAAAAATGGGGCAAACAGCTGATTCTTTGATCAGTGTCATGAACTGTAGATTAGTTACTCAACCTAAATAACCATAGTTTAATTTACACGGGAAACAAGTAAACAGCTCAGAGCTGACGTGTGTCTTCCCAACAGTGCCTTGTCTAAAGGCTAACGTTAGTTCCAGGAAAATGAACGTGGAACAGCATCAACGGTAGAGAACAAAGCAAGCCACTGTTTAATACATCGTGAGAATACAAATGTAGCACAGAATGAGTGTTAAATGTGGAGGATGAAACACCAACAAGCTGTATTCCTGTCTGTGTTTACTGTATGGGTCTTTAGCGTTAGCATTGCGAGACCAAACTACACCCTCAGCGTAACGTTAGTATATAAAAGTGACCGACCGTTGCACTAGTCAGTTGGAAGGTTTTACTTACATTGATAGTGTTAAATCAGCAACGTTTAAATAACTCCAGTCCCTGGCAGAGCCGGTTACACCTACCCATTCACACCGCTAACACGAAATGCATTACTTCCGTGCACTGACCATGGGGCACCGACTGAATGTTGCAACCCTAGTTAGAATGGTACCGTCCTACACGGTGTCGTCATCACTCGTCGACTAATCATGAAGGTTTACACCAGACATATAAATATATGTCTATGGTTTACACAACCTAGGACTGTACCATTCTAGCCTGTATGGATAATCCGGTCCGAATTGAGAAGACAAAACCACCACATATCTGTAGCTATTGCAACTGATAGAACTAACTTTACAAAAACAACACCTCGTTTCTACTTCATCCATGCTTAGATAAAATAGTTTTATTGATCCCAGTTTGGGAAATTATGTTAACCATGCATATTTGGCTTTGAATATAACTCAATAGTATAGATCGATTTATATTCTATAAAGAAAAGTGCAACAACTCAGTTCTCTGGTCAGACCAAACAGTTTTATTCAAAATGTTGACAGAACAGGCAGTATCAGAACACACTTCCTGGACTACATCCTTTTTAATCTTCCTCCTCGTCGTCAGCGCCTCCAGTGCCACCCTGGCCCTTCTTGGCGTTCTTTCGCTTGACGCGGCCTGGGCGTCCACCACCGTATGGAGACCTCAGGGAGAAGTCGATGTGCTTCTGGCTGTCCAGGCGAACCACAAAGGAGGGGATGTTCACCACCTGCTTTCGCACACTGCAGAGATGGACAAAGAGTTAATCTCTAGAAAAAAAACATTACAATTGCCAGTTTGATAGATTCCACTTTAGTTTAAACAAAAGACAGGAATCCAACTGTATGACCAGTCCAGATGAAGTTATCTTAAATGTCTAGATTGGCTATTGCCATTTATTTACTGCAGGCTTCATTTACGAGGAATTCTTGACACCACAGAAAATCTGAGAATGTGATTTAAATCATCAGCCTGAGTAATTCGTACGGCACAAGGTGTACAGTAAATATGACAGTTGCCCGAGGTGCAATCCCCCGTAACTTACCAGACAGCCACAACACCACAGTGGCACAGCCTAAGCCTTCAGAGGCAGGATTGGCTCTGGGCAATATCTATTGACAAGGTATACGGTTTTGATACCGAAGTGACCTTTGTGAAAAGTTTAACTGATCTCAGCCGAGAGCGTTAAAAGTTGATGGTCCTCTGAAGAAAGAGGAAGCATTGAGTTGAGTCTCAAGACTTGAGTACCATTATCTGACATTTTCCCCCAAGAGCCTTGTAGCTTACCGAATATGCCTCTGGCGGATAAGGACACGGGCATGGTGGATGCTCTTGGCGAGTCCAAGCTTGAAGACCTGTGTCTGCAGCCTCCTCTCCATGAAATCTTCAACCTTCAGGCCCAGGATGTAATCGAGCTTCATCTTACCCTCATCGAGTACGCCGATCCTCACCAGACGTCTGAGCAAAGCATTACCTGGTAACAGGAGCCATTTTAAAATCCAGAACAAGGACGAAAATAGCCACTAAGTAAAGTTACAATTGGCCTCATTCACGAGGAATTCTTGACACCACAGAAAGTCTGAGATTTGATTAATTAATCATCGGCCACTACAATGAAACGTGAAATGGAATTTTGCATACCTTCAAACAGACGCTTGGGGTCCTTCTCGTCAAGAGTGAGGAGCTCTCTGGCAGCTTTGCGGATCTTGGCCAGGGTGAACTTGACCCTCCACACCTCACGCTTGTTCCTCAGACCATACTCGCCTTGAAAAAAAAGATGGGACAGTCAACCGTTAAATTCAGTATTATGTAGTTCTTAAGAGGGCAACATGGAGTTTAATTCATAACTATACTCGAGATTATGAAATCACACAGCATACCAATGAGTTTCAACTCCTGGTCGAGACGGGACTTCTCGAAGGGGCGGCGGGGGGTGACATAAGTCTTGCGACAAACCCAACTCCTGGCAACGGGCATGGTGGCTTATAAGTGCCTGCAATAAAAGACAATTAGTACTGTATTTAAAATGAGTAAATAGCCATTATTATCTCCACATTTATATATCTAATAAAATATATACACGCACACATCAGCTTTAGATAATCCCAATGAATCAACTTAATTTCACCAGTGTAAAAATAAAATGGCATCTACGTTATTATTTTAAATACTACTACATAGTTCAGCAATACGTTCTTATGATTAATAAACCTAGGACTGTGGCTGCCTTCAAAATCCTGCAATTCTGTCTTTTCATCTTATTAAAAATACAATCTGCAGTTGAAAAACAACTCAGAAATGTGCAATATATTGTATTGTGGGAGATATGGATGTTAAACTCCCAAAACAGTTTCACATTAGCATTAGGCTGTAATGTGTCGCAAAAGTTCAGACGCAGGTATTGTTTGTAGAATGTATTAAGTCAACACTACTAAGTCAGGAATGCTTCATAAAAATAAGTGTGTAAGACACCATGAAAATACGCTAAAAGCAAGCCATTGTAAGACCTACGACAAGGCCGCAGATGCACCGCACCACGTTGTTAAATGTGACAAGCTAGCGTTAGCTTAGCTTAAGCCGAATAAGCTTTTCAATGAAACAGTTAAAAAACCATAAGTTGGTTATCTAAAAAAACGTTTCCTTATACAACTAGATTTCCTACAACTATGTAATACCAGTTGTGTATTTAAGATGTCTAATGCTGTGTGTTTGCGAAGTGTGGTAGCATGAGGCCGCATATCATACCTGTCTCGCTCAGGCCAGCGAAGTAAAGAGAACGTTAGAGGAAGTTCCAGTTTATTTATAGGGCCTACGCACAAACTGCATATCCCAGGATGCACCTCTGCGCCCGAACGGAAGTAGGAAAATTGGTCTTGTTGCACTCTGTTGGTCAAACAAGGAAAACACATCTGAAAACTAAAGGTAAATAATATGTTTCTTAGCGGCAGATATTTTTGAAGCCCATCATAAATATGAATCATAGTCACACACCTGATGATTATAACGTACTTTTAGCCGGTGGATCATATACAACTTACAGATAGTTGTTATCATCCAGCCACCAGGCTTCTCAATTCTGAAAACATTATCATCATGACTGCTTTTAATGAACCTGGACTGTTATTTGTTGCTACTTATCTTTTTCAGCAGTATTTTTTATTATCTATCTATTTCATCCCTTTTTCTAATAGCATTTGTGAAATTATTTTGGATAAAACTGTTTGTTAAATTACACACAGTCCTGTTTTATATTTTATTTACGTCATCCCATCTTATCTTACACCATATTGCCATTATATATACATGTCATCTTAAATGAATATTATTGCATCAAGTGCTTTATTCATTTTGGAGCTTACCTGTTCACTCAATACATTTAATTGTACGTTATGACCTTGTATTAACCTACAAAACACTTGTAAAGTCAAACTGAACGGAAACTGAACCTAACTTTAGGGTCCACTAGGAGTCAATTGACTTGCTTTGTCTTCGGGGTCTCTCTCTCACTATACCTCTGTTGAATTGGCTTGTATTGTAAAAGTGTGTAACAAGTGTGGGAGATCTTGCATGACAACATGTGTAAGAGTGAGGGTGGTAAGGTGGTAAACTCAGAGAGAAGGACATGGTCGACTATTTATAAAACTCTGAAATGGGACCCTGAGCATGTGTTTCTGTCTGTCAGGCTGCACGATCAACTGATGGACACACAGAGGCTCACTTGCTTTCTCTTTCACAGCCCTATATCCTGTCTTTTCTGGACAGGACACCGGTCATTTTGTGGACTTTCTTTGCCTTTTTCTTCTTCGAATAATCTGTGAGGTTAAATAGAGTCTTAATCTTCTTTCCCCTCGCCCTTTTGGATCTTCTGTTTTTCCTGTTGGGATTGTTTCCTCTATTTTCTTCTCCAGTCTGATTTCCTGCTCTCCTGTGAGCGTATCAATCTTTGTATTTTCCCCAACTCTCCTGCTCCTTTTTTCCTATCTTCCACTGTTCCCTGTCTCCTTGTGCGTGGTTTTTGTGCCATGCTCTCCTCGCCCACTGTGATTCTCCAGCCCTATGGACTTCCTGTCTACCCACAGGCAACCACATGCTACCCCAGCCTAGTTCAGGTAAACCCTCCTTCATTTGTTAATTAAATCGTAAAATCTCCTATTTTCGGTCATGTTTGTCTTCATTCAATGTCCTTTCTGTTAAGTCTTATTACGGTGACTCAGGGTTCAGAAGTGGAAAATAAAAGATTAGATGTGATAATATGATTGAAATCCATTTTGAATGAGTTAAGGGCTGCAACAATTGCGATTACTTTCACGACTATTTAATTTGCAGATCATTTTCTCGATGTATCATATAGTTGGTCAAATGTCAGAAAATGTTAGCAAAATGTTGTTAGCATTATAAAAGGACTAAGGAATTAAATACACTAACAAATGTTCACATTTAAAAAGATGGATCAATTGTTTTTTTGCCACTCAATAATCACTTTATTGTCATTGCACAATCCTGACAGTGTATACAAACCTGTTAAACAGTTATGAAGGGAAGATAGTAAAAATATGTAAAAGATATATATTTTTAAATATATATAGCTGTGAAAACAACTTCAGAGCTTTGTTTTCTTTGTTATAAGTTAGAAATGAATGTCGGTGCTGCCAACAAACCATCAAGATAGCATCCCCAGTGAGGAGTTAAACATTTAATACTGCAGAAGAAACCAAAGGGCCCTTATTTCCTTGATAAATAAGTCCAATCTTACATCTAATTTGGTGTTAGTGTTGTGTTGCTCAATAGGGACTAATCGTGTTGTGCACAGAAAAGATTAGAGGAATGACAAATCAATGAGGCCTGAAGGGAGCTGGAGAAGCACACTGATTACAAAAGATCCCATACGTTACATAGTTAGGACACATTTGGGGTTATCTTTAGTCCACGGGTCTCAGGGAAGTGATGCCAGCAGTGTGTGTGTGTGTGTGTGTGTGTGTGTGTGTGTGTGTGTGTGTGTGTGTGTGTGTGTGTGTGTGTGTGTGTGTGTGTGTCTAAGCGTCCCTGACATGCCATTAATGCCACAATGCATCTGGTATCTCTCTACCTTCACACCAGCTGTATTTTTAGCCTCCTCTTCTGAGGAGATAATCACAGGAGGAGATTCTGTCACCTGTCTTGTTTTCTTCACTCGACTCTACTTAAAACGGTGTGAAACCTGCCTGTTGTGCCTTTTACATTTGGATTATTTAGCTTTATTAGAAGAATAAATCACATCTAGTTTAAAAAAAGGAACATTTAGATGGGTGCTTCTAAGAAAAAAAAAAGAGAGATTCGAAACCTGAGGGATGGAATACTAACTTTTCCAAAGCAGTCTAAACGTTTTACTGTCTGTTATACAATATGTGTAGCTACTCCTTTATCACTTTTATTGGAAGAATACTAGCAAAACAATTATTTGGGCTAGGCAGACAGGTGAATGGGTGGCATGACGGGTTTATCCAAATACTATAATCATTTAAGCAGTTCCTTATTCTATATAAATGTCCTGATTATTGCAAACATGCTTTGAATATTATGGAAACCTAAATAGCAGAAAGCAGGATGTAGATAATGATTGTGTTGAAAAAGGAACCATTAGTTTGATTTAATAAACATCCTGTTCACAAACATTTGTAACTTGGCCGGCACTAAAAGGCCACATCTGCAGTTTAGTGTCGTCTGTGTGTAAATCCTGTGGCAGCTGTCCCAGCATGCACCTGGCTCATAGCTGTTGACCTCTGACCCCCAAGTGACAGCTGAGGAGGGAGAGGAGAAGAAAGGAGAACACATGTTAAACAGAAAAAGCCTGTAAGGAGGAGAGGGGGGACACTGTGTCTGTATGCACGCCTGCTGACACTGTGATACTGAATCTGGCACAGTCGTGGTTACTTTAAATAGGGGGAAATGAAATAAACTTGCAGTGATATCTAACAGATTGTGTTATCTACACTCATCTGTCACTTTTGTATCTGTAAGTAGAGAAACCTGGCAGTCAGAGTTTGGTTGTCTCATGAGATACATGGGACACAAAACAGACAAATGTTAGTGTTGACGTGTTTGGAAACATGTTCCAGCAGGAATGTGTACCTAACACCAAAGAATCCCTTATTTTACTGAATTCTCCATGAGTAGACAGATTGGCAACAAGAACTTAAATATCTCACGGGTTGGATTTCTGTGAAATTGAATACAGACATGTATTTTAACCAAAGGATAATGCCATATGTAGTTCCCTAACTTTGACATTAGCATCACAACATGAACTTCTTACTTATTAGAACATGTTAGCCGGCTATCTGGCTAATCCAAGATGGTAAACATCATGCCTGATTAACAGCTGCATTTTAAATGCCATTGTGATTTTGCTAGCATTCTGATGTTAACTCTTAGCTCAAAGCACAGCTGTGCCTGACAGAGTCTGACAGCTGTTGGCTGTGGTTTCCACCAAGAGAGACTCTGAACAACTCATGGTACTTTATTTATTCTGTTGGATGGCAAAAGTTGGTATTTACAACAGAAAACATCATAGGGGTCAGATGTTTAGGACAATAGCATTTAGTTTATGTAGTTTTAAAACTTTGCTTGAGTTACGCGTGTCCAAATTCAACCCTGCTTTACCCAATTCCTTTTTCATTGTCCCTGTATCTTCTTATTTTGAGTGCAACAGCTGGTAAAGATATTTAAGAGTTTATTAAATGTCAGTAAAATGAGTTATTCATTAAAGGAAAACCTAAAGTCCTAAAGCTGGCTGACAAACCTTTGCATGTAAGGTAACACGAAGATAAAAGTTATGTCAGTATATATTCGTTTTCAGTCCTTATGCTAAGCTAAGCTAACCAGCTATTACCTCTAGCTTCATATTTACAGTAGGCTAAGGACATTTAAGAGATTTAAGACTTGAATGATTTTTTGTATTTCCAGGATTAGATTTTTAAGGATTGTATTCTTCTCCAAAAGTTGAAAACGTTTTTCACCTTTTACCTTTTCTGAATCTAATATAGTGTGTGAATTTTTGTCTGAATCTTGCATGTAAAAGTGTACGAGTACAGCACTGGATTACATGTACTTTCTGTCCTACATATCTTTTATTATGATTCTCTTCAAATCTTATATAATATAAGAGCTATTTTTTAAGCGGTATTGCGGTATATATTATTTAAAAGTGATGTTGGAACCGTAATAATACCATGTTGGCTTCCTAAACACGATATTCTTAGAGTCGACCTTTACCATGATATACTGTAGGAGCATTTACATCCATGTATACCCCATGTGCTGTGTGTGTGTGTGTGGGTGTGTGTGTGTGTGTGTGTGTGTGTGGCCTAGCATTACTATACTTGTGGGGACCTAAATCTGTTTACACAGTCACGTGTGGGGACTCGCCTCCCTTATGGGGACAAATTGGAGGTCCCCATGAGGGGAATCATTAATTTTAGGGTGAAGACTTGGTTAGGTTTAGGGTAAGGGTTAGGGTTAGGGTTAGGGTTAGGCATGTGTTGGTTATGGTTAAGGTTAGGATAAGTCTCCAGGAAATGCATGTAAGTCAATGTAATGTCCCCTGAAGTGATGCATACATGGTATGTGTGTGTGGTGTGTGTGTTGTGTGTGTGTGTGTGTGTGTGTGTTGTGTGTGTGTGTGTGTGTGTGTGTGTGTGTGTGTGTGTGTGTGTGTGTGTGTGTGTGTGTGTGTGTGTGTGTGTAAAGTGATGGTGGGTGGGGGATGAGGTGATTGACAGCTGCAGATGACCACAGCTGGTGTGGGCTCCTGGTGCCTTTTTGTTCTGGCGATCATTTGATGTGATTGGTGGATGAATAGAGCTTTTGGTGCGGTAGGCGGGTTGTTAGCTGACATTAAAACATGCAGCAGTTGTTGGACAATGCACCAGAGAGCGAGGAATGCACTGACAGGGTAAGACAATGCTTTTAGCTCCTTACCTGAATTATTCACTTGGATCATGGCTGTAGGAGGGTGAACTTTTGTTTCTGTAATCTGTTTTCATTTACATTTCTCATCTGAATTCTTTCTATTTCTGACTCAATGGAGTTTAATGTAGAATTACTTTGTGATTTAATTGAAATCAGGCTGTACTGCTCTTTTGATGTGACTCTGATTCATGGTTTCACTCTTTCAAACCTTAACACTAAATATACCTTTATCATTTATTGAGAAACTAAAACAAGGAACATTTGGGCTTTTTTGCTTATTTATTCAAATCAATAATATTTTACAGTTAGAAGTAAAAGTCCTGTAATCTAAATGTATTAACTAAAATTACATAACAATTCAAATCAAAATGTGCTTGTGGTAATGGTTCTTACTATGCAGAATTGCCAATTTCAGGATCATTCACATTTACTTATTCTTTTGCAACTATGCATTAATATCACTGTAATGTAGGTGATAGAGAAGGAACACTGCTGTGTAGCTTAAAGGTGGGGTAGGTAATTCACTTCAGAAACACTTTTTGTTATATTCCATGGAATGCTCTTAACGTCCCGATAGCAATGAATATATTAAATGCTTTGACAATAAATACATTAAAAAATGTCATCTGTGAAAGCCGTAGTACTGTAAAAAGCACGACCAATCATTTTAGCCGCCCGGCTAAAGTAACTGGATGGCCTACCTGCCTGCCAGCCTTCCATCTGTGCACAAACTTATCTCGTGCCCTCCTTGGTCATGTGCGCGTTCGTGTGTGTTGGAGGAGGGGCTCTGTAAGGAAGTCTGAAGGAAGGGGCAGATTTTTTTCGGCTGCGTATTTTCAAATTCTAGCGCACTCGAGCTGGTTTCTCCATTCTTACCTTTAATAAAGTCTCACTTTAACCTATATTAATCCATCCTCATATACTGATGATTTAGTTAGTTATTCTGAATTAGAAAGTTAGGAAAGAAAATGTAGTTGATTTAAAAGTAAAAAGCAGCTAAAATGTTCAAGTCTCTCAAAGTGTACTTGACATGAATATTAATTAATCTACACCACTGTCAGTTTTATCTGCTTTTTATTTTTTTGTATTTAAAGGTTCAAACAAGCTCTCAGACGTTAATAGGTTAGATGTTTGTTTTGTGATTTCCATACTTTGAGGGCTTTGTGTTTATCTGATGTTTGTGTCGTCATATTCAAACTGACAACAGATCATTCCTGTGAGAGCCGGAGAACAGACGCATGACGGTCTGTTTGTTTACACCTCTGACATTTAATATATTGTGGTGCTGATCCCTCTCTCTCTCTCTTCCTGCAGGGAGGCCCCGGTCAGGAGGCCGGCCCCGGCAGCGGGGACCCCAACCTGTCCCAGGTCTACGCCCCTCCTCCCTCATACCCCCCCCCAGGGCAGTGTCCACCCACATCTGCGGGCAGACTGCCTCTTGAATTCACCTCTGCACACCCCGGCTCAGAGTACGCTGAACACTCCCAGCTCAGAATCTACCAGGGGCCCCAGCTCGAGGGGGCCGAGGTTCTGACGTCCAGCCACGCGGTAAGAACAGTTTGTGAATTCACGACAAGCAGTCCCAATTAAATTAATGTGATAAGTAGCCCTGCTGCTTCAGGTAGAACATCCTTATGTCCCACCAGGGGAGCATGGACAGATAGAGTTTCTTCTATATTTAGAGCCCCACTTACACTTTTGTGTCCATGTACGGGAATGCTGTCACACTCAAAGTGAGGGGGGGCAGCTGAGTGGGGGTTTGTTGATGAAAATAAATCCCCACTTCTCCATCTTCTAAGTGTCTCATTTAGCAGGCAATAAAACAGATCACCTTTCAACATTATGGCTGTGACATTTTGTGATGATATGAACAGTTAAGTATTTAGAGGATCACATAACGTACACTTTCTATAAAAAGATTTTCTTAGAGGGTTTCAAATGTTTTACTGTTTCATCAGTGGAGTGTTATGTTTCGGTGTGAATTGAAATATAATTGTAAAAGAAGGAAAGAAATAGGTCCTATGTTAAGTTAAGATGTTTCTGTCTATTTTTGTTTTGAAAATTCAACAGTTTGTCTCACTGTAAAAAAGTTTTCTCAACAGGCACTGTGTGTTTATTTTAACTAAGTAAACAAATATTCCAGTGCAGTGAAATTATTTAAATATATTTCCTTAATAAATAAACTTCTTCCCAATATGTACTAAAATCGAATTCATAATTGTAGTGCAGCAACTTACATAGTCTATTTTTAAACATGCTGGTGGCATTGTACCAACATGCTGGTCCAACTATTTGTCTATACATAAATAACTTAAAAGCTATTCCCTGGATTGCAGTGAAACTAAATGACATGAATGAGTCCCAGGTGAGGTTAACAATTTAGCTTTTGAGTGAAATATCTTATCACCTATTTGATGGATTGCTGTGAAATCTGATACTGATATTAAAGGTCCCTAGAGGATTAACCCTAATGACTGTAATGATCCTCGGACTCTGTAACAGTCAGTACAGCCTCAAGTGTATGTGTTATAAATACTACCATGATAACATGATAAACTACAATGTGGCATGTTAGCATGCCATAATTGTGAGTGCAGTGTATAAGAGTTTGGTTCTAAAGAGAAAACACTTTTTTACACATTGTGCTTGACCCTTCAGCTAACTGATGCTTGTCAAATGAATAATTTGTAATATTTTAAAGCTGACTTGTGTTGTCTTTTTGTGAAATTATTGTTGTTTAAAAAAGTATATTGTGGTATTTATTTGTTGTTGTAATGTTGTGGAGATTCTATATAATGTATAAATATTTGCATTGTTGTTGTTCTGTAAACAAGTTAACACAGGCACTCATTTCTGGAAACACGTTTGAATTTTTGTTCTCAATTCACTTTTTAGAACACAATAGATTTGTATGGCTCCATTTAGACATAAATGTGTGTCATTACTTTTGCAGTGCAGTAAACCTTTGACATCCACTAATAACATTTCCTTCAGGCTTGAAAACCTCCACCATGACACGTTCAGAGGGCTTTAGTGTGATCTCTCTTCCTCCTCTCATAAATGTGTTGGCCCCATCTATATATTTTATTACTAGAGCCCCTGACATACTCGGGTCCGTGCTGAATTTCGGGGAAAAGTTGAGACGCCGCCATGGAGGGAGGGGGTCAAAGGGGGAGGCTGACCAGATGACCCCCTTTCCCCCTCTGAAATATCGCTCAGGTCCAGAAACACAGTTCTGCATCGTGAAATGACACCACCACCCCCCCCTCCCCCTCCCTGTATCCCTGTCTCCCCATTTAGCCTGTGTGTTGTGTGTGTGTGTGTGTGTGTGTGTGTGTGTGTGTATGTGTGGTGTGTGTGTGTGTGTGTGTGTGTGTGTGTGTGTGTGTGTATGTGTGTGAAAGTGTGTGTGTGTGTGTGTGTGTGTGTGTGTGTGTGTGTGTGTGTGTGTGTGTGTGTGTGAAAGTGTCTGTGTACCTTTTTCTGTCTCTTCCCACTTTATTAATGATGCCCCTTGACAAATGACCTTTAACCCCTGGCAGAAAAGCAGCACCGTGACCCCCGACTGACCCTTGTGGAACGTACAGTTTTACACTCTTTGCCTTCCCCCTTCACCCTCTTCCTTTTCAAGCTTTTTGCGCACCTTCTTTGCCTTGTTTACTTTGGTTTCATTTTATTCTTCACTGCTGCACTGAGGCCTTTTCCACTCTCTGCCTCTTGGTGCTAGAATGCTAATACTGACATTTTCACTTTTACACAAGGACTGTTTCTTTATATTTATATATCAACAATTTTGTAGTATTTTTCTTTGCTTTGTTATGTTCTTTTTTTATGTTTTCAACATTTCTTCTCTCGCTTTCACTGCTGAAGCTCACTATATATATTTATTTTTTCTATCTTTTCTTGTTTGTACTTATTCATTTGTTTTAAAAAAACATATTTTTAACATTTATTTTCTTGCAATGGTTGATGATGCTGGGTCACCACCAACATAAAAACATGCACACAATAGCATCGTGGTGCATTTTGGGAAAATGAATGTTTTGGTTTTGGCACATTAGTAAACTTTTCTGCATGGGGCAACTTTAAGTTAAATATTACTACAGTTTTGTATGTATATTACAGGTTATTACAATAATATGGGACACTCAGTGAGAGTGTTCATCATTAAACATTATTTAACACTTTGAAACAGCTTGAGTGAATATGACAGGTTTATAATCCATATTGTTTTTGTACAGTGCATTGGTATATACTCTCCTCCAGGCATGTATTTAAAGACCTCACTAAAATGGAGCCCTTTTCTTGCCTCCTCACATTTGCCTTGAGAGGGATCACTGGTTGCTGAATGCTCTTTGAACTTTGGTTTGAATCACTTCATGAAAATGATGCTTAATGCTCTGTGATGCTGACATAAACAATATTCTCTGAAAGATGTTACAGACTGTATTCTCCAAATTAACTTTATGATTTTTCTTCCTTTTCTTTTCCTTTGCTTTCCTACTGATGCCCTTTCCTCGTTTTTTCTTCTCACCTACTCTCATCTCACTCATGCTCTTTCTTTTTCCATCTTTCTGTTTCATGTGTGTTCCTTCACGTCCTCTTCCTTTCTGTCCATTCTTCTCCTATCGCTTCCTCTCCTCCTTCTCCTCCTGTTTTCATACTTTCTCATAGCAGGAGGATGGTTTGGCCGCTGTGAACTCTGACCCCCTGTCGGTGTCATCAGGGGGCGGGGCAGGAGATGGAAGTGACGAGGAGGGGTCCAATAAGGCCCAACCCAAACGCCTCCACGTCTCCAACATCCCGTTCCGCTTCAGAGACCCGGACCTCCGCCAGATGTTTGGGGTAGAAATCTCTCACTGTCACGCAGTCTCACAATGCCTTTATAAATCGTTATATACATCCTTAAACAAAATGAAGTTATCTGTATCTATTATATTATACTTACATACTTATTCTGACATTTCCAGCAATTTGGGACGATCCTTGATGTAGAAATTATCTTCAATGAGAGGGGGTCCAAGGTGAGCATCACAGGCATGATAAGAGTTGAAACTGAATTTTAAAATAAGAAAACAGAATATTAACATTGTGACGGTGTGGTCTTGCAGGGCTTTGGCTTCGTCACATTCGAGAGTGCAGGTGAGGCGGACCGAGCCAGAGAAAAGCTGAACGGGTCGATTGTGGAGGGGAGGAAGATTGAGGTGAGGGAGAATTCATTTTTTGAATGAATATTAAGTTATTTATCTTATCTCACACTGTGTCTCTGTTGTACCACTAGCCTTGTTTGGCTCCGTATTGTTTTAAGTTGATTGCTTCAGTTTGTTGCAGAATTTGCCCTAAGCTAATTTCCCTATGGAACAATAAGGAATATGTTATCTTATTATCCAGGTTAATAATGCAACCGCAAGAGTAGTAACCAAGAAGCCCCAGACGCCGCTTGTAAACAGTGAAATTCCAAGTAAGACTCCCCATTCATTTGAGCTAAGTTCACTTTCTGCATGATTCCGAGTGGTTTTGTGTGAAACTTATCCCAATGTTCTCTATGTGTAGCTTCTGGATGGAAGATGAACCCCGTCATGCAGGCGATGTACGCACCTGAACTCTATACAGGTAAGACACTCTCTGTAACACTCATCTGTTATTAGGGCTGTGTTTTCATTTGACTTTTGCACCCTTACGCTACTTACTTGTCTCAGTTTATGTTGTTACACTGAGAGGGAAGAGTCAATGGCTATAAACAGATAACAACACTTCTATCTGGGTTAGGGGGCTTAAACATAACATCAGATAAACCACTGTCATAGCAAGGATCTTTGCATATAAACTACACTGTGCTATAAATTCAAAACTATTAGGAAAATATAAAAGTATTTATAGTATATTTTCTCAAACCCCTAACTATTATTGTAATGACATCACCTGTACATTTACATTATATTCAAAAGATTTACCTTTCACGTTTTCTACCATTTTATATCCCTTTGTAATGGCCGGTTTCCCCTATCCCATGGCCGCTCCCACGCTGGCGTACCGAGGCTCTGCGCTGCGGGGGGGGCGAGGCCGCGCCGTCTACAGCACCATCCGCTCTGCTGCCGCCGCGCCCACTGCCGTGCCCGGATACCCCGGGTAAGACTGTGTCCGAGTGCCAGAGCCTCTTCACTCACTTCAGTCTTCAGCATTTTAATGTTGTTTCACTCACTTCTTTCAGGATGGTGTATCAGGATGGACTGTATGGAGCAGAAGTCTATGTAAGTAGCTGCACACATTTCCTCCTTAAAGTCATTTTAAAGTGTTGTTACTATAATAATGTTATTTTTATTGTATCTTCTGTGCAGGGTGGCTATCCTGCAGCTTACAGAGTGGCTCAATCAGCGTCTCCTGCCACGGCAACCTACAGTGACGGGTAGGCAGATTTTACAACGAAAAAAACTATTGTGTAACTCAAATCAGCTTTTAGATCCTTGAAACCATTTAAAGAAAGGGAAATGATATCAGATGAATCAAAAAGTATTCCGGAATTCAATTATAAATCATTAACATTTTATATAAAACTGTATACATGAACCTTATATCAGTTGATTAAAAAAACCTACTTATGTTTCCTTTAAAACCAACCAGTTAAGTAACAGGCACTGAGGTCAGGTCATGCATTTTGTGTCTAGAAATGTAGGAGGACTAACATCCTATTCAGTGCACATGTTGGACTTAAACACATGTCCGATTTTAAGGCTAATTCCGATGTTATCCTTTATTTTCAACATTTAGAGGCAACATTTAAACACCAAAAGACTGTGGAAAGTAGAACTAAATAAAAGCCATCATTGAGGAGATAAATGAATAAAAAAAGGAAGTTTAATAGGAGCCTTTTTTTAAATCCTGGCTACATCGTGACATGTGCATCTGCTTCTGATGTTTTTGAACAGATACGGACGTGTTTATACGACATCTGCGGACCCCTATCACCACGCAGTCGGACCAACAACAACATATGGCGTTGGTACAATGGTGAGTGAAACACACACACACACACACACACACACACACACACACACACACACACACACACACACACACACACACACACACACACACACACACACACACACACACACACACACACACACACACACACACACACACACAGCCTGCAGAGAGATCTTGTGTTACACGTGCGGTTAACAGCACCTGACACAATGCTTCTGTTTACAGGCCAGTTTGTACAGAGGAGGATATAACCGCTTCACCCCGTACTGAGCCACACACCCACACACACGTCTCTCTGCCTCTGGGATTGGCTGATCCATGGACGCTGCAGGACAGATTGTGAGATCCTTGGAGAACGTGGAGATAGTTTTACTTCCTGCTGTCATCACAACCTCTCCTCGAGAGACTAAACAGACTGAAGATGTAAATAGTGTAGCACCCATTCACTATCCTTTCTACCGATGAATACTTAGCCCCTAGAAGAGGATGTTATTTAATATATAGACAGTTGCTTAAAACCTTTAAAGGATAATTGTTTTCTGAATTTAAAGTTGGCTAACACGGCAGAAGTTAGTGAAAATACTGTGAGAGTTACTTTTGTGAATATCTGAGATTTATCAAGTTTCATGTCATAGTTTGTACAATGTTATTATTTATGGTGACAATTATTAACTAAATCTCTGTGCGTGTGTGTGAGAGTGTGTGTGTGTGTGTGTGTGTGTGTGGTGTGTGTGTGTGTGTGTGTGTGTGTGTGTGTGTGTGTGTGTGGTGTGTGTGTGTGTGTGTGTGTGTGTGTGTGTGTGTGTGTGTGTGTGTGTGTGAGTGAGCATATGAGTGAGGTAATTCATCTACATTGTTCAGTTACAGACCCAGCTGTGACACTGGTTTCATTATTACAAGCAGATAAGTAATGTTTGTTGGGGTCTAGTTGGACTTTCCTTTTCTTTCCTTTTCTTGTCTTTCTAACAATCTACCTCTCATTCATTTTCAGCTTTTAATACTGCTTTCATTATAAATCCTGTATCCCTTTCTGTGTGTGATATTTGACTCTGCAGAGCTTTTTCTCTCTCTTTACTTTTCTTCCAGTAAATGCTGATTTTACATAGTTTAGTTTCTGTGGCTCCGTACCTCACTACACAAAGAGCCCTTTTTCTCCTTTACTCACCCAGGGAAGGTTTGTTTTTCTAAACATTCTCACAGTTATACTCGTCGTGTTCAACTGGGCGCTGCGGTAAGAAGCAGTGTTCTGCTGTTGGCTTTATTACACAAATACAGATTAGAACCATTTAAATGATTCAGACCAGAGTCTGCTCAGTGTTACAGTTCAGGTACCCTTCTTTTCCCTTGTCTAAATGATCCTTATTTCACTCTTTACTGTCGTCCTTTCCTCTGAACTGTTGAATGACTTCTTGGTTTGTATTGATAGTTCCTCCTTGGCCTACTCTCTGTTTCTGTTGCATTCTTTTCTGCTGTGTTTGATGTTTACCTCTAAATAAAAAATATGTTCTCTCTCTTTTCCTATTCTGTCCTTTATTGATTTGTAAGATTTTCCATTCTTTTTTTATTCCATCTCTTATTCTTTACTGTGTCCTTCTCCGCTGCTCTGATACCAAAGAAGACTTGATCCTTGATCATTGTCACAACACAAATCCTAAAGCAGCCTCTTTCCTTTTATGTCTTGCACTTTGTTTCCTGCTTCTACTTTCTAATTATAAAGCTTTTTACCTTGTAACTGACATTTCTGCTAGTCTTACTCTTTCTTTTTTCTTCTGTCCTATATATATATATATATATATGCTCATGAAACTTCTCCTTCTATCTAATCTATTTTCTGACCTAAATTAACTGATTTTACTCTGCTCTTTATTAGTAGTAGATTTCGTTTTATCATGATTTATATTTTAATCATCTTCTATCTCTGCTTTTTAACTTTCCTCTGAGTGACTCAAACCTTTGCTTATGACTTTCTCTTTGCATGCATATTGTTCTGCTCCTCTGCACTGTGCAGGTCTGGCTTTACTTTCTTGTATTTAGCTTTTTCCTTGTCGTACTTAGTGCTTTCTGTCTTCTGAGTGGATTTATAGAATTCTGAGCTGCAGCCCTTCTTTAGATCCTTTCTCTTTCATATTGCTCTTTATAGTTTATTTTTCTCTTGCGAAACAACGTCTCTTGCTGTACAGGTTCTGTTTCATTTCTCCCCCCCTCCTCTCTCTACAAGATGATTTTTTCCGACCTTGGTATTATATGGGGCTTCATTTTTATCAGGCTTTCATTGGAGGTTAATACAGAAATGTCATGGTTTCATTCATTTTCATCCTTCGAGGCACTATATGTATACAAAGTAATGCTTTAAAACAATTTCTCCTGCTTTTCCTATTTGTTGAATTCTCTTTCTTTCGTTTTTAGCCCATCTGCATGTATATTAACATTTAGTTACTGCTCTACTCTCTCCTTTTTTCTGTCATTTAAGCTTTCTAATATTTTTTCACCATAAAACTCCAACTTCATTTTCCAACAACTCCATTCAATTCACTTTGACATCTTCTTGCAGCTCAAATGTGTTTGCCGAAGTGAAAATGTCAACCAAAGCTGGGTAAAGGCAGAAAGTGAAGGAAACTCTTCAATTATCCAGCTCGTGTCACTCACAATAAAACGTCCATGCCAAACCCTGTCGTTTTAACTTGTGTTTTTGTTGTATCCATTTATCTAAATGAATGCATTACATGTTTAAAAAAAACAATTACACCTGATGTCATTTATTCTTGAAGTTTATTTAAATTTTTCAAAAATATATATACACAAGATTTACAAAATGGCAGTTCAAGTTGGATCTGTAAATGGAGAGGCGTTGCAGAGAAACCTTCAGATTCAGTTGTTAGTGAGCCGCAACATAAACTATCAAAGCATTGCAGACGCAATACAATACTTACTAGTGAGAGTGTGACTAAATGCTCATGGCAAACGGTCACAAGCATAACCAGCATAAAAGGAACAGATAAGAATGAGAAGAGAACAATACTGGTTAGAGATCTGTAGCAGAGGAGAGGACAGCATGCAGGGAGAGGAGTTAAGAGAAAGTGAGAACAGAGAAGAGACTAGTTCAGAGGGAATGGCCGGAGATGAACACAGCAGAGGTGAGGGACATGGGAAGTGCTTCCAGTAAATATCAAGGAAGGAGTTACAAAGACTGATGGGAGGTATACAGTAACATGGGAGCAAAACATACTGAAAACATGGCTCAGGCAACTGTGAGGAAAAACAAACAAAACATCCAAAATGAAAATGTGTATTGTTAGTTCCTGGGTGGAATTTTCTACAAAAAAAGGCAAAATAAACAAAGTAAACATCCTGGACTGTATCAATGCTGAAAACCTGAGAGGTGCACACATCAACCATATTTAAAGAAATGTTAAGTTCACACAAACTCAATGCAACAAACAACTGTCGTTCAGCTCATTCACATGAGCAGAAACCAAAGTCTTTTTTTGGGAGGACGTGCCACTTGTCCCATGAAGCTTTGCCTGAATAACGACTGCATACTGAGAGAAATGTTACCAACTGTCGGGGAATTTCATGAGTGATATGTTCGGAATGTCCAGACACATTTTTTTTTGAGGCATTTAAAAATGACTGCAAATCTATAACTGGGCAAACATTATCCAAAAGAATTTGCGATTAATAATAAATAGGAATTTAAAAAAACTAATTTACCAGCAAACACATGTAGGCGAAATATTCAAAATGTATCTGGACAAACAGTAAAAAGGGGGCTTTGTAAATCCTCAGGCATTGTTTTCTGTAACATGTATGATGTTGCACAGAAAAACATTTTCAATATTTGGGTTAGCAGCAAATCACATTAGCAGCAGCATCAACATTTTCCACATTTCATCATCAGGCTCCATGTGTTTCATCAGCTGTGACGCTTCAACTTGAGCGGGTCAAACCAAGACTGGGATGCTCACTCTCTCCGGCTGACGTCACTATCCTCTCTCCATGAGCTCCTGCTGCGAGCTGAAGGAGGAGAGGGGCTGGTGGTGTGGGGGGAGTTTAGGGGGTGGGGGGGCAGTGAAGAGGACAGGGGATCAGGTAAATGAAGGAGAAAGAAAGAAAACATGTTGAGATTGTTGTCATTACAAATTGTTTGCTGAAATGGTCAACAGTGAAGTTTGACAGACAAACAATGGTCCAGTGTTTACAAGAACATTTTGTCAACCTGATGGAAATTGGTTGAAGACTTCAACATTTTGTGTTCATCACTGAGAAGATATCAGCTTTGCATGGAACTACCTGCCAAGCTTTACTGCCACCAAAAGGCCAGTGAGACAATAGAGGCAACAGGCGTTTTGCCTGAATAAAATAGGACCATTTTGACATTGGAACTGGTCATGTCACTCAAAACTGAGTATCAAATATTGCCACAATGCCTGTTTGAATGTTTTCCGGCTGTACTGGGGACATCCTGACAACGTCACCCAGATCTATCTGCATTTTAGTTTACATATTTACATATGGTCAAAGAAGAGTTCTGCAAAACCCAGAAGAAAACAAAAGAGAATCACACTTACCCGTGTGAGGGGAAAAAAACGACACTATGCACTAGTTGGAAATAAATCACAGCAATATCATACAATATTTACAAAAATAAACTGTTGACAAATACACATTTACCAAGCCTGCATCCACTCAGGTTCTGCTTAGTTACCCCTCAGTCTGAAATGGCTTAATATTTCTACAGCAGCAATTAATACTGTTCAAATAAACAAAACTCAAATCGACCCGTTTATTTTATTCAAATTTGTACACTATCATTATCTATGAGTCCTTAAATGATAGGATATGGTGGAAAACAAACCAAATGAACATGGAGTTAATGTGTTGTTGGTATAGGTGTACATTTACTGAACAATTTGGAACTGTCTAATACCTCATTTGTAATACCAATTATCACCTAAAATAGTGTGCTCCCCCACCAATAGTATTTTAGGTCCTGGACAGCACAAGCCTCAAGACTAATGATCACAATCACATCAGAAATACTTCAAGAAAGTCCTGTCCTGTACCGAGGGTAAACAGTCTTTTATTTATCTTTTTAATTATTAATTACTTGTCAACTGGGAAAATGGACATAAAGCATCTCGACTCAATTCGCATGTCCTTTGTTGATAAAAGAGTTTACATCTGATGTAGACAGTAATTTAATACTCAACCATATGACCTTCAGATAGCACAGGTCAATGTGCAGTAAACACGTCGGGTCTAACTGGTGCCATTCTGGCATTTTAGGGTTTAGTCAAATTGTATCACTTAATTCAACATTAAACTGCTTATTATAAAAATCTGCTTTGCTGCTCCATAATTCTTTTACTGGGCCATGACTGCCAAAACAACGGACGGAAGAAATTCAACACAGAAGAAAAGTGAGGCAGCATCTCAGCCGTGCCGTCCTCCTCCTCCTCCCAGAGTCCCTTTAGCTTACCAGCCGTGCACACAGATCATACAAACCGCTCGTAGTTTTTGGAAGAGGCAGCCGGTTCTCGCTGAAGCTCACCCCGCAGAATTCCCTTTTGGCTGTATTTAAAAGATGGCAGCTTTTCTGTTGATTAACAGCTGGTGAGGTTAAGAAGGCCAACAGGTCAGAGGGGCTTCATCACTTTTCTGATGGCCGGGGTCTGCTGGATTCCAGGTGCTGAAAGGACGTCCGCTGGAGGAGGATGAAGGCAGACTCCCTCTCTGCCTCTGGCTGCTTTCATTCTGGAGATGGAGCTCAGCTTGGAGGGTACGGAGGAGGATACCACCCTGATGAAGAACACTTGCCTGATCCCTTGATCATACACAAAGTCAATGCTCATCACGTTCAGACTTTCTCCCAAAAGCTGGCCAACTATTTCTTGACCGGGATCATTGAATTAATAGAACTTAATTCAAATCAGGAACAAGACTTAAGTTCATTGCTCTCACTGGCCTTTTGATCAGGACGAGGAACAGGATGCACGGCCATCGGATACCTTTGGGGCAACTGGTGCAGGACATACAAACCACCTCATCTTCCTGCAGACACACGGCCGGCGCCTTCTCTCAGGCGTTTTATCAGTCTTTAGGAGGAATGTGAAAGGGTGATCTGAATCTGTGGACTTCTATTCAAACAGGAGCGAGCTGGATGAAGGACTGCCAGCTGTTTGTATTTCCCTTTTGGTTTACAAGGCTTGAATCTTCAGGTCTTGAAGCTGTTGACTTGAGGAAGGAAAACACATAACAGAACACTGTTAGCTTTGACATCTGAGGGTCGCTAGGGAACAGGAATCATGGGGGGGGGGGCCCTCACTGAGTTGTTCTATTGACTTTTGACTCCCTTTGCCGACACTACACTACCCCAGATCTAAACTCCTCACCCCTAATGTAAAGCAGTTCCTATCCAACGGCATCTGTAATCTGAATCTAAGAGTATTCATGAATCTTTCTATGTGGGTCTTCTGTAGTTTGCCAACTCTATCTGAAAAGGCTGATGTGTCTCAAGTGCAGTGCATTGTATATGTGAAGCTCCATTATGGTCCCCTAACTTCTCCCTTTATGGTGTTCCCCCCCACCCCACCCCCTCAGGAGGCAGCCAAAGCGGCTGAGCTGGTTTTGCAGTCTATCTTTTCAGGGTCACCGGGGTAGAAAGTGACACCATGCGCAGTGAGAAAGGTCACACAGGAGTCTAAACAAGAGAAGCCCAGATTGGAGTGCACATACTCCACGAGCAAGTCGGGCCTGAACCTGCGGACAGAGGAAACAGAGAAATCAGGAACTCATCATTCATGGAACTAAAATGTGAAAACAACTCTTTCTGGGCCTTCACTTACGTTTTTACCATAGCCCGAAGTGCAATCATTCTCTCCCTCTCAACAAACTTGTCAATGAGGTATGAAGCCATGCGCGGGGCTTCTTTGTACAGCTTAAAGAAACGGTGATAGTTTCCTAATGCCCAGGCAGCGCGGAGTGCAAGAGCATGAGCCACACACACATCTGCCCGCAGGGCCGGGGTCAGGTACACCAACTCAGTGGTCAGATCTGGAGGGGGCAATGATTGGCCAACATTTAAATATGAAGGGAAGAGATAAGAATGTATGTATGCTGTTTATAACATGTGAACATGAACAGTGACTTCACATGCACAAAATGTTTATGACCTTCTACTGAAAATATTCATGCTTGGCTGTACACATGGTCTTGGAACAATATTATTTCACTACTGTTGGATAAATGTCATATCATTTGGGATATTGCCATATTCTGATTTAACGCCATCAGTGTGAGCGTACCTCCAGAGTTTTTGGTGAAGATGTAATACAGAAATCTATATGCTGTAAACTCTCCAATGTTCTCCGACGGGTTGTCCTTATACAGGGCCTTCAGCTGGGTCTGGCACTGGTTGAACTCTTCATGGTCTCCCTGGAGACAATTAACATTCGGTCATTATTATATAATGTACTGTTATCAATTTTTAACTACCGCAAAACGTATAGAAAATAAAACGGACTGACCTTTTCCAGAGCAATGCGTGCATGACACTCGTACACTTCCACTGTGAATTCAGTACGAACTCCTTGGACCTGTTGGGGAAAATAAAAACTCATTTAGATAACCATGATAAAAAACACAGAGGTTAACATTGTACAAATAC